AAATTCATACTGGTAGGACTTTTTTTGTTGCATTTATGTCTCTGTACTTCATTGAGGAGTTTGTGGTCCTTGTTAGTAACTAAGAAAGCTCCTACCTTATGTTCTAAAGATTAATGTAATACTTCATGGCAGTGAGTCAATATTGCAAAATGCTGGGCTTTACAACTGTCAGTACTCTGTGGGCAGTTTGGGCTAATAGTGAAAGTGCCCTCCTTGCAGGGTGAGCTGCTAAGCAGCATCTCCAATTGGCCTGGTTTCCTGGTTTACCGGGGAAGCCAGCTGAGGCAAGGATGGGCTGAGAACCCAGATGCATCTCATTGACCTGGATGTAGCAGCTGTGCTCTTCCACCTCTTCTACCTGTACATAACCCACATTCTGGATATCTCTGGATGTGGGTTAACCTATCTGCTGAATATCCCTGTGCATTTTTCAACCCACTTGCTAAGTTTGTGAATACAATGCAAATGAGGCTGCAGTACTGTATATTACCTGTGTGAAAACAGGCTTTTAGATCCAGGAGTGTCACAGTTACAAGACCAGATGCGACCAAATGTGTGAAATGACCCTGAAATGTTCATAGGAGGACAACTTGTTCTACCAGCATGCTTGAACTTTTGCATTTCAGCAATGTGAAAGCCAGTTTAGACATTAATTACTTGTTATAGAGACATCATCACTGAGTGTTACTAAATGATCACAAATGAGCAGTTAGCAATTTGAAAGCACTCAAATTCTGAAATGTTTATTTAATGGAACTGATATCCTAACTAATGCTTGCTACAGGTCAAGTGAAAAAATGCAGATACAAAATCAAATAATAAAATGCATACCAAATTCTACCCTGCTTTTAGATTTTTATGCTTATTTTCACTTCACCCATAAAGTGCCATTTACAAAAGCTCATCTTTATAAACACTCATGCTTTGTACCACTGTAGTTGCTGTGGTGTGCTAAAACTGAAAACTGAGTTTCCCTGTCCAAAATACCACTTATTATTGCAATTAGACACTTGTGCATTGGACAGCAGCATAAAATATCAATCTGCCTTTCAAGAAGTGAACAGAGACTTTGTGGCATTTCAGCACCTTCTGACATATTCAAGAACCTTCTGGACACAATCCTCTGCCACGTGCTCTAGGATGGCCCTTCTTGAGCTGGGAAGTTGGACCAGGTGACCCGCTGTGATCCCTTCTGACCTCACCCATTCTGTGACTCTGATGTGTGAATAAAGTACCAAACAGTGGTCACAAGTGTGCAGTCCCTGTGCTAGTAGTTCATAAAGTTGCCCCTGTCTAACTGAGTTTTTGGGAAATACTTTGAATAAAAAAACTTTTGTTTGGTAGTCAAAAAGGGGACTTCTTTTGACTCAGAAACACCTGAACTGCAACACCTGTGACCCATGGCACTGGAAATACAGTGTTGGTGATGATCTTGACTTAATTGGAACTTTAGAAGCAAATTAATTCATGGCTTTTGCTGTAAATGGTGTAACATCATCAACATTGCTTTGGGCCAAAAACCTAGAAGCCTGTGGTTCTTTCTGCAGCAATGGGATGAAATCAAGGAGGGGCAACTTGGGCCTTACAAGGGCCTAAATAGCACTGGAGACACCTTACTGAGGCTCCAAGACCTCTGGACAGGCACATCAAAGTTCTGCCTCAGTTTGTTATTCAAAATAGTTCTGTATGGCTTGTACAGGTTCACACATGACAACCACGAGTAGCAGGGAGTAAGCCCTGGTCTTCTTAGGTAATGCACCAGTTTCCTTACCTTTGTCTGATGTTCCAAGGCACAGAAGAAAGTGGGAATCAAGAAATCTGTGAATCTGCTACAGCCAGTGTGACTCAGACAACTGTGAATTTTTCTGCTGTCCTAGTGATATGCTGTGTAAAAAAACCCTAAAAATTAACCTTGCTGGAATTATGAGGGTTGTAACAGAGGTAGCTATCAGGTCTAGATTTTTAATACTGATTTCTTTAATTTAGGTTTTTATTTTCTTTCCACTTAAGAAAATTCAGGACAAAAGACCTCTGTTATTTAAGAATGATCAGTGTCTTTTTTGGAAGGAAGACCTAGAGTGTGCTACATTACCATCAATGGAAGTGTGAATTTGGAGCCTAATTCTTTTGCAGCAGGGGAGATTAGAGAATATTGTGAATATCATTTCAGTACATATACTGAGTTTCCCAAGGGTATCTCATCAACAACAACTTCAAAAGTTACTTTTATGCCACTTCCACTCAGCTGACAAGAACACTTGACATTTTGAGAAGGTTTAGAATAGAAAACATTAGCAGTTCGTGTTGATCATGCAACTCATTGGCAAAAACACTACTGTTTAAATATCATGTTCAGTCATCGCTGGATTGCAATCTAATGAGCATAAAAGATGAGTACTTCTCAAAACTGACTTGTTTTGTAACTTATATGGTTACAAACTTGCAAAATTAAAACTGTGGACTTTTACTTCCACCCAAATACTAATAGCTTGGAAATTTTCCTTTTGTAGCTTGGAAACACATTCCAAAGAGCTGTTAATAAATAGTCAGGATACTGTACTTTCTGCTCAGTGAAGTCTCAATAGGAATTTTCATTATTATGAACAGCTTGAGTAATCTTGCTAATGGTATAGTGACTGAGTGTGTTCTAGTTTGTGTTTGAGCACTTCTAGATTTATGGATGTATTTAGCCATTTTCAAGGAGTAGCATTCCAGGTAAGTCCTCAAATAAAAGGAAATGCAATGTCTTCTCTCTTCCAACTGATATAATCAGTGCTTGACTTTTCCTCCAATTGAACCAATTGAAACTAGTGTTTAAAATTCACTTTGGCATGGATCAAGGAGTGGGATTGTTGATATCTTTAACTTGGTTGTTTATTTAACTTCCCAGTACATAATAATTTGTATAAAAATGACCTTCCCCTAAATATATCTGAGTGGCTATGTTATATTATACTAATGACTGCAACATGCAGAAAGCCAAAACAAGTACTTTGCCAGTATCAACAGAAATTACGAAAATACAGTTTGCAGCAATGTATGAATTATTGCTGCCAGCTTGCAGCTCCCAAGTTAACTCCTGATGAAGTTATAAATTGTGACAATGAGTGCTGTTTCTATCTTGAGTAACAGTGTGGCCCAATTTCTGCTGTCATAAATGGAGACTAAATCCATTACAATTGGTGGTTCTATTTCTGTCCAACTAAACTCAGAGTTATCCTTTCAACAATCAAATAATAATGGTGTGAGTTGGACACAGAGCTACACAGTAATTTCTTTTGTGTGGTTTCACCAGTTCAGGTACAGAGCGGGAAGATAACTCAGTGACTCAGTCTGGGACTTAACTTTCACCAGGATGTGTGGTTCAGATCTTTTTTCACTAGCAAGGTGGTAAAAGAAATCTAATTTCAAGCTCCATTGGAAATCAAGGGGAAGCAAACGATATCTGAGAGACAGAAAGCAAGGAAGGGATAGGGTAAAAGTTAATGAGAGATATAAGGGGTGGGGAGAGGAATGGAATTGTTTATCTGAGTCCTCCCTAAATGTCTTCAGAGACTTCATTCCAGGCCATACTAGTTTTAGCTTCTTAAAAACACATCCTCCCTCTTGTTTTAAATAAGAGTAGGCTAGAATTAGAAGCACTTACCCAAGCCATCCAGGCTTTAACTTTCAGGGCTCAGAAAAAATGGGAACTGAAACAGCTTTGGTTTGGCTTTTGCAAAGGCCAAACCATCCATTCCTTTTCCCCCTATATTTAGGCTAAAGCTTTAATCAGAGAACTAGCAGTGAATGTATAAAAACAGCACACACCAAGAGAACAAAACACTAAACACTAAAAGAACAACTGCAATTCAGCTGCTTCACTCTATGCAATGCAGACTTATGGGCTACTGAAAAGATAGTAGAATAGTTTCCACCCAGAAGTAACTATGAAAGGAAGCAGGATCATTTGGGGCTGTATTGCTGTAGTAGCAAGGTTGCCTCCCCAGTCTTCCACTGATGTTACATCCCAAATCTATCTCTGATAGATAGCTTAAATCTTGGTTGAGGATATATGAAAGTCTGAAATATTTTCAAGTATGGTATGTGTACCCTGTTTCACTTCATCATTTTGCTTCTTCTCTGTGTGTTTATAGAAAGCTTGTACTTCAGGTTAGAAAAAAAGAATTGCTTTAATTGTTGGACTTCTTCCAAGCTCCATCATTAATTATAAATATAATATCTTCTTCAAATCTTTTTTGCACAATCTTTTGTTTGGAAACATCACTATTTAAAGACCTATAACATCACAGTTTGCCAATGACCACATTATCTGAGGGGAAAGACTATCCAGGATGAAATGTGTTTCTTCTTTTTCTCCTTGTACAATAATGCCTCATTACTGTTATTATTTGCAAAAAGGATGATTTTTCTATTATCAGCACATCTCTTTATTGCACTGTCAACATAATAGCTATTAAAAGAAATAAATGTTAAACATGTTTTGCTACAGATGAGTTGAATTAACTCCCTGTCAACCTCTAGAATCCTTGGGACTTTTTAAAGTTATTTCCCAAGACTTTTTAAAAAGTTTATGGAGCACAGAAAGCTTGCCTATTCTAATCACAATGGAAGCATTTTTAAATTAGTATATTCCTTCTGAAGATACGTCCAGTAACAAAAAAATCATATGGAAAAAATAAGATATCTCAGGAAATCCCAGGCAATCCTAGTGCATTTGTCATGACATAACTCTCCATTTTATGAGCATTCCACTGATCCTTTTCAGTTCTTTCATCTTCTTTTCTGTGTGTTTTGTTACAGAATAGTTGCAAACTATTTGTGTTTTCCAGGTAGAATATGGAAGGGTTGTTGTACCTATCCAAGGAGTGTCTTGGTCAGAGCTTTTACTGAAGAGAATAGAAATCATAAATACTGCAGATACTTTCATGCACAAGAAAAACTGGATACCCTGGGACACATTTTGAAATAAAATTATTGCATAAAATTTTAAAACTTACCTAACAACAACTTCCTCACCATGGAAAACATCTGTACATGATGATGATGCATACAGAACTGTGATTCAGTATTAGTGTAATTTCCTGTAACAGACAGCCAAATTTTAGGACTCTGCATAGAAGACAAACATCTTCTGCTGACTCACCCTCATCTTGCTCCATATTCAGGTATTACAGTATCTCTGGTCAATATCACATTTGGGTTAATAAACATCTGTCCTGCTTTTATTCCCTTCTATGGAAGGAGTTTAGACACAAGTGAGATGTGAAAACAGGTGAAATTTCCACCTGCTGTTTTACACCCTTTTTCCTGTGCAGGAAAGTCTGGGGTCTGAGTTGGGTTATTTTCGGGTTTTTTTAATAGTTTGAGCTAACATCACAGATAGACTCATGGGTGGGTATATATCCAAAATAATATTGCTGTAAGAACAGGTGGAAATAGCTATGGGGACTCATTAGTTTTACTGTTCCAGTGTTGCTGCCAGAAAATTACATGCTGCTTTTCCCCAGTCCATTTTAAACAGGCAGAGCTGCCAGAAGCTTACCCACTGTTTTCACATAAGTAGTATATGATCTGAGAGGTGGGAGTTTTGGGGCGGCACATCCATTCACTCACATCCCTGAGAGACAACCAAAGCCATTTGGTTTAACCTGGAGAGAGAGGCTGTTCAGCCTCACTGGGGAAGGAGTTGCTGCTACCAGAAACAGACATGAGCTCCCTCTCTGCAGATACACATTTTCTGGAGCCTGATGGATGGATCTGTTCATTTCTTGCTGGTGAATGCAAGGGCAGTGCACAAATGGTACACTGTAGCACTGGTGGTAGGCAGACAGTAAAGTATAGGATTACCTGATGTCTTACCTTCTTGAGAAACTAGAATCACTAAAATAGGAAAACAGTTACTTCAGCCTACAAGAGAATTGACATAAAGAAGAATTGTGAAATTGTTTATATTCAAAACAGAAGCAAAAGGGACCTCAGACATCTCTGCTATTTCTGCCTGTCCTCTTTTTCTGCAATAAGTCTTGGAGCATGCTGTCCTTCTGGCTTGCAATGAAATTTCCTCTCAAGTGAAGCATTTCAATCTATGGTGGTGCCAGGGAACAGAATGTCTTCTGGAAGCTCAGTGTCATCCCAAGTGTAAAAAGTAAAGTATTGGGTTTGGGGACAGGTGCTTCTACTGTTGCTGATATGTCTTGGTCATTCAGATTTCCAGGGAGTGGAGCAGATCACTTTGCTGGGGGACCATGCACCATCCTCTGCTGTGCCGTTCCACTGGCAGAGAGGCTGGGAGAACTGCCTTAGAGCAACGCTCAGTGACCTACTTTGTTCCTAGAAAGAAGAACACCTCACCAAGATGGATACAAGAGTTTTTTGAAGGATCCTGCAGCAGTCTGTGGACTGAGATTATGCACACCATAAGCATAGGGCAAGGAGAGAGGAAATGCAAGATGCTGTTGAGTCCTGGCCTAAGAGAGGAAGAATACATAGCAATATTAAATTTAGTTTGTCTCTGTGTGTAATGCTCTTTGTTGTGCTAGATAACTTCAAGAATTACAAACTGCCCTTATGAATAAACAAATCAGAGGATTGCTGCAGGCACACTGAGAGCACAATATGTGTATGAGATGTTATATAGTAAATAATGGGATGTTGTCTTCATGATATTGCGGCCACATGCTTTGCATGGAGCACTTAAACATTTACTGTAAGTAAATCCATTAGGAAAGACAATCATTCTCTCTTACTGACTTTCTCCAAACCAGTGCATTGAAAATAGGCTGTTTCCTGCTCCAGACATTCCTTTAGAGATGACAGGAACTCCCCGACCACAGCCTTGGTGCAGGAACAATTTGTGTTAGTGCTTTCTTTTTGCAAAGAATTTTGTACTTTGGACTTTGTTGATATACTTCTGCTGCCATCTTAACACAGATCCCAATGTGATCTTGAATTTAGGGAATGGAAAATCCTGATAAACATCCGGGCTGCTGTGAATGCAAAGGACAAAGCCTTTGTAGTAAAATGTCTCTGACATACACCCATGAAAAGTGTTTGATGTGCTGTAAAAGACATCTGTCTGAGAAAAAAATTGTTTTTCCTCTTTGGCTTTGTTAAGCAGACTGTAGAAGTAAATGACACAAAGTAACCCTTCTTTTCCTCTCCTACTGCCCCTCTCTTTGTTTGATCTTGCAGTGATGTGATAATGGCGAGTCTGTAACTTGAAAGTAATTTCTGTAAAGACTTATACCGTGAACAGAGGGGTTTTATTTTCTGCTGCTAAAGGGAGATCAAAGTATGATCTAGAGATTAGACCTGTTTTGAGAGAGAAAACTGAGTGGCCTATTTCTACCTCTGTCACTGAATTGCTGCATCAAACTGAGCAAGTCACTTAACTTCTCTGTGCCCTGGACCTTTGCTGTGTGTACTGAAGCATTCAGCTCTCTCACTAATAACAAACATTTTATATGGCTTAATCATAAATGATTGCCTGTGTGCTAATTAGCCACAGTCAGTGCAAAGTTTATTATACTTGTTTTCAACCTTTACACCAATTCAGGGAACGTGATGGCTGGTTTTCATTTCATTTTGGTCACAGCTTGCAGGAAGGAAAGGAAGAAAGCTCTGAGATCCACAGAGGACCTGTGGAGGCAATGACACAGACTGCAGGCTAATGGGAATTTCTGGGCTCAGGGCTGTACTTTACAAAGGATGCTGGCATCAGAGAAGCATTATTACAGTGTTTTATATTGGTCTGGATGAGTTTAAACAACCAGCTGAGCTACTAGCAGCAATGTACACAGTGGAGGCCAGCTTTCCAAATAAGTCCTGTGTCTCACACTGACTGTACTTGACTTTTGGTCACCAGGTTTTTTCTGTTGCTCAACCCAGTTCAAATAACACTAGCTGAGGTATGCTGACCTCCTCTTACAGCTGTAGTTTGGAGGTAGTGCTTGCTCGTGAGCTCAGACCAGCAAATGAATAAGCCAGGTCTGCAGTCTGACAGTGTGCTTGCATCTGCACCAATGCACAATCTGCTGAAAAGCACTCAACTGCCCAGGCCCTTCAAATACCAGGGTAAAGCTGTGTCAACAGTTGTCTCCCTGACAACCTTCTGAGCACTCTTCTATATGGAAGAAATCAGTCAAAATCAGTCAAAAAGTGAAATCCCTCTGCTTTAGGCAGGGCTGCAGTTTTACCTTTTTCAAAAAGAGAAAGAAATCAGGAGTGTCCCACTCTGTGGCAATACTGGAAATGTAATCTGTAAGTACATGCAAAGGCAGTGTGATTAAATCAGAGGTACAGGAGCAATACACAAAAGTGTATCTGTGCACAAAAGCAGACTCACATCAGTTCTGCATTTTGTGCACAGGCAGCCTAAGAGAAGAGACTCCATGATTCAAAATGTCTGCAGTCTGTGTCCCTGGAGAATCAGTAGGAGTTGAAGAAAACTTCCAAATGTTTTCTGTGTATGCAATAGAAACAAGAAAGCTGCCTTTTCCCAAGGTATCAACAGAGAAACTGAGGAATAAAGGGATTAACAAGTTCTGTGCATGGTGACACGTGTTTGGGTTTGTTTGTTTGGTTTTTGTTTTTTCTTTTTAATTTTCTTTTGATGCATTTGAGAAAGAAACAAATTCCCTGAATTTCCCAGTATGACACAGCAAAGCAAACCCCATGAATCTCTGCAGCAGTTGCAACAGAATCTTCATGCCCTCTGTCCTTTGTCCTTCTAAGGGGAAATGTTGGGTGGCACACAACATTTAAAAGTTAATGATAGGCTAGCCAGTAAAAGTGAAGACTTGCAGCTTTGGGTTGCAGCAGAGAAACAGGAGGGCAGCCTGTTCATACCAAATGTCTGAGAGTACCTTATTCACGGGAAGCACTGGCAGACTATAAAGTACTCTGTTAATTATTGTTGACATTGCATAGAGAGCTTCATGCTGTTCTTTCTCTGCCTGCTTTGACTTAATTTGTTTGAGAAAGTACTTTTTCTGTGCTGCAGATTATGTAAATTCATATACTCTACTGCACTGACAGATGTGTCTTTGTTTTAGAAGAAGCCATTATTTTTTTCAGTGCTGAATGTGAATGGAGCATTTCACACTGGTGGCTTCCAAAAATATTTATAAAGTGAAGCTGAGCAGCTCAAAATATTTTGCCCTCCTACACTGACATTCACAAGCCTTTATAGCAGCATTATCAAAAGCATTTGCAGTGGAACGTGCATGAGTTGGCCACAAAGATTGGGTTAGTCAACAAATGACTGAAGGCACACATTTTAGTCATCTCTACCCCACACAGTGTACAGCAGAATCCAGTTGCAACTGTAACAGGGCAATTATTGTATATTGTGGGTCAAAGGCTATCTTATAATGATCCCTTTCTCTCATAACTCCTGCACATCTGAGGAAACAGGATGAAGAAGTAGAAAGTGAGTAAAATTCTCCTTTCTTCCTGTTTCAGCTGGTAAAATGTGGTTTGACTGTGCACTGAATACCACAGGCAGTGCTCGTTCTGAGGGCTGATAGCTGCTCATGGGGTGGCATTGTCTGCCTTCCATGTTTACGTTCCACTTCCACTGACCACTGCCTAGGTGTTCTCCAGCTCACTCTCCCACTCTTTGATTCTTCCTGAACATGCTGCTAAGAAACAAAGCAAGCTGCAGCCACTTGGGCAGAGAAAAAGGCTCCCTCTGAGTACATAAATGCATCAGACTTCCTCTTAGATTTCACTATGAATTAAAATGACCTCTCTGCCAATTGATTGTAATGACTTCCATAGTCTGCACCACTGTATTGAAACCAGGGCTTCCCACACATTTCTTCCCACTAGGAGTTATCCAAGAGAGCTACACTAGCAACCTGTGCCCTCCAGCTGCAGGTAGAAGAGCTGTCTGGCTAACTTCGTGAGTATGGACATGATAACGACACACAATGATTTCAACAATAAGACTGAGTGTACTCCATGTCCATTCTCAGCTTTGTACATTTCCATCTTCAAAGTTTTAAAATATGTAATGAATAGCAGTGATTCCAAGGAATCCAACCTTTAAACCACTAAATAATGTTAGCTCCATTGGCTTTCTGTCTCCAGGAGTGGGGGCTATGCACCATGCTTAAACACTCTGATTACCCTCAGCAGGCAAATGGATAGAAAAGACATTTTAAACAGGGGAAGTCTCCCCACCTGAATTGATACAGTGAGGAGCTCAGCAGCAGGAGAGGGAATATGTGTCATACACTATCCTGTCTTCCTAAACACAAGTTTGTGTTGATGAAAAAATAGTGAAAAGTTTTACCCCGCAATGAACAGGGACGCCAACTAATCCCCCCTTCCTCGTTATTTAGGAGATGTCTCTCTAGTATACCTAATGCACACTGCATAGGATGTCATTTCACTTCAATGAGCATAGAAGTTTCTTTCCTCGTAATCCTTGCATTGTTTGGACACAATCTTTTTTCAAACGTTTCCACTTTTGCTTTGCTAGATGTTAATTTTTTAATTCCTGATGAGTGTGACCCTTTTGTTGTCTATATGCGCATTAATTCTGTGATATTTAAGCATGGCTAAATGAAAAGTGTCTCAGCTGAAGATAATTTTCATTGGTTTGGCTTTTTGGTTTTTTGGGGGTTTTTTGGGTTTTTTTTTGGTAATAAGACAGTTGTTTTGAGTTTCTTGCTGCACTTTGGAGGCGTGTGCATTAAAGTTACTTCTAAAGCCTTGAAACAGGAAAGAATAGCTCACTTTAAAGCATGTATTGCCATGTATTTGCTACCCTCTTGCTTATGCCTTGTAGCAGGTGAAAAAGCAGTAATGGGTGACTAAGAATGCAATAAAGGAAAGAAGCCTGGGGAACAGTAACAGCAAACACATGTGGTCTTTTGTATTCTTTTGTATCCTGTGAAGTATTAATTTCCTTTAGTGAATTTGCAGCTTAATTAAAAAAAACCCCAAACAAAATCAAAGCAACAAACAGGCTGAAATTTTCCCTTTTGCTCAGCAAAAAGTAAGAGAATACTAATAATTTTGATTAAAATATTACTGAAGAAGCTATGACTCTAGTACTTGTGGACTTGTTTTGAACAGACCAGAGTTTGCTTCTAATGCTACCATGCCAAGGAAAGAAGGACTATGACAGATCGTTTCAGACTATATGAGAACCGGGTTATAGCATGAGGGTTGACAAGGATGTTCTTCTAACATGAGGTAGCCCTCCAGATGGAGGGTGATGTGTGCCTGTGCAGAATGCATTTGTTTTCGATGGCCAAGCCGTGGCTGTGAAGTAGGCTCCCTTTGGGACCTTATCTCAGATTACACCAGCTCCTAGTGCAAGTGAAGAACACCTTTCTTTGACCTTGACATTACTGGAATAAACGTTTAGAAAGCATGTAAAACCTCAAAACAAACACTCCTCTCCTTGGGAGGCAGATAAGTGAACAAACACGTGACAGATGATAGTGACGTTACTTAATGAGTGACCGATTCGCACGTATATTCTGCTCTCACTGGAGTTGTAAGTGGCCACAAAAGAAAAACAGGTCATGTTATTACTGGTGTGCCTCGTGTATTAGTGAGCAGGTCTGTAGGCGTGTGCCTTGACATAGAAGCAATGTTTGAAGATACTGGATTTCCCAAGGAAGCCCTGAACATGATGCAGAAGTCTTGCTAGAGCTTTTGAGCTTTATAAAAATTCAGTTTCAAAATTCACCTCCCACCTAAAAAGTACAAATTAATTTTTGCAACCAGCTCATAAAATCTGCCCATTGCAACATGGTGACTCTGTCTTGAGAAAGACTTTTTTGGAAAACTTTACTTGGGATTGCATGCTTATGCCTGGTAAGTGTTCACAGTCCTTATGTGAACCACCTTTCATCAAGAACAACCTTGCCACTGCCCCTCATCAGGTGGAGACAGCAGATGTCTAGCAGCAGCTCCAGGTTTGTAATGCTTGCTGAGATGTCCAACTGCATGGAGAGATAGGAAAAACAGAAACTGGTCAAACTGGTTCTGGAGGCCCTGTTAGGGGCTCCCTGATGCTGGGTCTTGCTCAGGCAGGCTATGAAGCCTGATGCAGCAGGGTGGCTTCCACTGGAAAGAGCCTTGCACTCCCATTTTTTTAATCTTCTTTCACTCCCATTTTTGTCCTAATTCCTTTTCCCCCTTTTATAGCATTTTGTGTGAAAGAATACACTGGCAATGCTGAGTACTGCATTGGAGGGAGGCCTCAGTTAAACTGGCTCCAGATGTGCTTGAACTGGCCTGGCTGTGTGCTCTGAAGAGCAAAGCCTGCCTCCTCGGCTGGGAGCAGGCACCCATGTGCCAGGCGGTGCACGTGGCTGGCTGCCACAGTTACTAACCTAGTATTAACTGCATTAATTGTGGACATAAACAGTGTTTAGTGCCAAGCATGTCACAAGCTGATTATAAAAGCTGTGGTGTAGGCAGAGTTTCAAATTGTGCTTCACTTTTAATTTCTAGCGCCCTTCCCCTCCCCTCCTATTCCCCCCTCCCCCTCTTTTTCCCCTCCCCCTCCGAAATTCCTTGAATGTGTCTCTGTATTTACCAAAATACAAATGTGTACCGAGCGGTAGAGCAGTCGTGTTGTAAATACTATGGGTACCTGCCAATGGCCGGCAGCAAATTCTCTGCAGGCGCCTGGAGTCGGGGCGGGAGCGCCGGCAGACCCCGGCAAGGGAGAGCCCCCTGCCCCCTGCCCCCCTGCCCCCCTCTCCTGTCCCGCTCCGCCGCTGGGCGCAGCTGACCTACTTTTTCTGCATTTCTCCCCACACTGCCCCGACGCCTCCCACGCGTGGGACTCGAGGGTTTTTAACCCTTGGGAGCGCAGCGCGGCTCCGCGGTGCCGGCCGGGAGCCGCGGGGATGCGCCGGGCGCGGAGCGCGGGGATGCTCGGGATGGGCTGCCCGGCTGCCTGTGCCCGCAGCACCCCCCGCCGGGCGGCGTGCGGACACGCACCAGCCGCGCTGGACCGCCGCTTCTGTCAGCTCGCCTATTGCCCTACGCTTCCCCGGGACTGCTGCGACTCGGCTCCCCCTGATTCTCCACTATTTCTCCCACCTACGAACCTTTAACAAAACAAATAATAACCGTAATGAAATATGAAGCACCTAGAATTCACAGAAATGGCGCTGTTTACAGTTCTGCACCATGCAGCCCCACCTCCCTGCAAGGGACAGGACATCAAAGCGTTTTGGAGAGGCTCTGCCCTTTGCGGCTCATGCTCTGGCACCTGGTGTGGGAAAGGCTGTATGATTATGGTGACAAAACACGTCTGACACAGCATACGCTGAGCACTGGCTTGGTGTGAAGAGCACATTGTAAGTGCTTTGTATTTGATGTGCTTAATGTGGTCAAATAGTGCTCAGTATGATATTCGGCTGATTAATTGTAACTCGCTTTTGGATTGCGCTTTGCCTCCCTGTGTTTTTAGTAAAACAATGGGTTGTCTTCTGCTCTTTTTAGAAGAATATTAGAGCAAAAGCCCTTTAGCTGCACAAAAGTCTGGAAAGGGGGCAGATAATACTTTCACATTTTTAAATATAATACTCTTTCTAGAAAGGCCAGAAGTAAAATGTTCTGGAATAAAAAAAAAAAAAGTTGCATAAAGGCCAGAAGTAAAATGTGCTGGAATAAAAAAAAAAAATTGCATTGGGTGCGCATTTTTTAACATGCAAAAATGTTTGTGTCCGTTAAAAACTGTCTCCTGGATTTTAGTAAAGATTATTAGACAACTATGGAACTTGTCAGCAAAGTGTTTCCTCAAGTATGTAAACTCCACTGAGTATACAAACAAATTGCATTCAAGTACATGAAGATAATGGCATGGTCACTTTGACTGAAAAAGTTGAAGTTCCCCTGGTGCAGCTGGTGAAACTTGGAACAAAAGTAAAACTGCTGGGAAAGGAGTTTCCTAGCAGCATGTATTTCATAGGTTCAGGACCAATGGGTGTCCATGGAGTAATCAAGCTCTGTGGTCACTGTGACCGTGGAGTAACAGCTGTGGGTCACTCTTTTGGCTGTTGTTGAAGGATAGTGGGGATGGGCAATGAACCTTGTTTCTGTTCTAGAGGAAGGCCACTTACACTGTTGGTGAGAGCATTATCTGTGTTTTGAGAATGTGTTTAGCTGTGCTCCGTTGCTTTAACACATTTCCACTGAGTGGCCACTGACCTATTTGTAGTCTGTTTTGCAAAAGTTTTACCATTTTGAGTGTGGTAAGTGGAGAGTTGCAGGGACATGAGCTTCTCCCTCCCACAAAGGAGGCACCTTCAGTCAAGCTTTGGGCTACCTAACAGTGTTGGGTTATCCTTAACTAATGTCATATTGTCCTGCTCTTAAGGGTAATAAATAAATAAATAAATCCCCTCCTGACTGGCAGATCTTTCAGCAGCCTTGATAAGAATAACTGCCATGTGTCTGCGATAAGGCTGTGGTCCTTGGCAGCACTTTAGGGTACTGTTCATGAGGAACTACTGGGGTAGTTCCTGGAAAAGCTGGATTTTATAGAGGGATTACAGGTATTTGTTCATCTAAATGAAGAATGCTGCTGGTTCTCCCATGTCTTTCTCAAAACAGTATGAATATTAGGTTGCAAATGGCTGTAGAAGTATAAATTAGAAGGACTACAGAGTACTGCCAGTGAAACTCTCTACCTCCTTTGCAGCTGTCTTTGAGTAACTATCCTGGTTACCAGATGGTTCAGTCAGGGTTTGTTTCTCTTGTTTGTTTTCAAAGAGCTGTATGCAAATTGCAGTGAGCAAATTCTTTGTTAAGGGACAAAGAATTTCACTTTACACAGGGAGTCGGGAGTCAATTTTAAGTACCCATGAAAGCAGAAACATGACAATTCTGTAAAGTTATTGGTAGACAAAAACATCTAAGCTCAACTTTAGTGATCAGTTACTATCACAGAGTGATTTTTAGCTTTTTTTTAACAAAAAGAAGTATTTCTTTACATCATTAATGATTAAGTTGAAAAGTAAGTAATGACTTCAAAAGTTGGTCTTAGTTTCAGAGTTCATAGGATACACTTACTAAGGCAAATTTTTTCCATGTTTTTAGGTTAACCCAGAGAATCTGTGGTGTAGAGAGTAAAAACGATGTTGAATGAGTGCCACCAAGTGTCTTCTTGAAGAATATGAAAGTCCAAGTCTTTAGTGGGAGCAAAAACCAGACTGCACTACCATTAAGTTCTTTAATTTTGAGTGAGACATCACAGAGAATCATCATCACAGTGAATTCTGTTAGAGTGAGAGGAGTTGCGATTATTATTCCACTTAAGTGCAAGAGCAGACTCTGGATAAACGTGAATATATGTAGTAGAGGCAGAAAAAAAGATGATGCTGGGTATCCTTCCTGTCTGTCTCTCTGTTCCATTTTGCTTATCTTCTGAGTGAGTGCTCAGCGTTGACGCTGGACTGACTGTGTCTGTGCTGTGCTGTGTCAGATGACGGTATGATACACCTTATCTTTAGCTGGTGTGTGTCACAGGACTTCCTAACAGGCAACATATGTTACAGATCTGGCTGTTAACTCAGTTTTGGCCCTTCTTCTACTATTGATCCCAGTGCTGACCATATTAATAGCTGCCATGGCGGCAAGACTGAGACTTGTGTGTATGAATGTCAGAGATTCAACAGAAGAAAAAAGCTAGGTGTTGTCAAATATCCTCCAAGACGGTTTCATCCTGAATTCCTGTTCCTGAAGATTAAAAGTTCCTGAAGGATCTTTAGATTTGCTGTTAATACACAAGAGTGATTCTAAAGAAGGAAGATTTGTATCAGTCTTACAACTTTCTGAACTTTTTTGATTCAAGAGATAGATACCCAAGCGTGTTGAAGCTCCTGCTGCATTTCTCTATGCTGTATGTTGGGGCAAAAGAGTGATGCCAAAAAGCCATTTCACGTTCCACACAAGAATAGCTGCTCCTTGTCATGCTGGAGTTCATTGCCTGAAATTCCAGGCTGCAGCCAGAAAGCACGTCCAAAGCAGCTACACAAAGAGTTGTGGTGGGCGGCAAACTTAGTATCTCTCCTCAGAAATGTGAAGTGCCTTTTGTTATTGTTAAACAGCAGAAGGGGAGTAGACTAGGACAAGGGTTTAGCCAAAGAGACTGTTTATTGCAGGGTTTTGGTAATGTACTTATTTGGACAGAAATAGTTTATGTCGTGAAATGTGCTGAAGCCTGCATACAGAAATTGAATTTTTTTTCCTGGAATATATTTATTTATAGATAAACTGATCAGTCTGTAGTACATGGCACCCATTAAACTTGGAGGAGTGCCAGGGAGCAAAGTGAGCACCATATATTTTGGGGACTCTGGGCAGTGAGCAGGCACAGAGTCCCTGTTTAATCAGCAGTCCATTGTATGTCTCAGGGCTTTCCACAGAAGTTAATGGGTGAACAGACTTCTGCTGGCACAATTTTTCCAATGTAGCACTCTTTGTTCTGCTGTGTTTTATTATTTCACTATAAATTAACTTAGAAGAGTCAGGTTTACCATTGTCTGAGCATGCTGTGAAAAAACTCACCTTTGAAACTGTATATTACTCTTCTTTGTGTGATGAAGGATGGAACTGCAAAGTACAGTGACAGGCACCAACATATTGTCCTTGAATTATTTGGAAGGACTTCCACTATTTGTATGGGTGGTGTATATTTTGTGGTACCTATTGTGCCCAAAGGGGGCAACTCTCAAGGGATTTGCTCTCACTACATGTAAAATTCGTGCTGTTGATTTGGTACTCACCAGTATGCAAGGTTATCTAGGCACCACTGTGTGGTGTGCTGGATAACTAGACTGCCCTCTGTGTGTTGGTAGGCAAAACTAAGTGCTAGATGTATACAAACAAGGTGAGGAGTACCTTTGGAGGCTCAGATAAATCTCTAAGCTTTTGTTTCATCAAAATTAACTTTCTATAACAGATTGTTAAGTAATTAGTTGTCCTTTTCCTCTTGTGCCCTTCCCAAGCACAATAGACAAAGTTATCAGTATTCTTGCCAGTAATTCACCTATTATCTCAGTTTAAAAGTATTTCATTGTTTCATGGACAGTTTTTAATATACTGGAGAATGTTCCTGTCAGGCTGTGATATCTGGGCATGATCTCACCATTCATTCAAGAGGAAAAAGAAAAGCTTCTTCTCTGAAATTGCCAACCTTACTACAGCTTTAAAAGCACTCTTTGGGGAGCTGAATAAAAGCAAACTAAAATGTGTTGCTAAGGAACAAATCCAGATGCTTCCAGAACTTACCAAAAAAAAAAAAAGGCACAAGGACACACCTACTAAATTGGAGTAATGATTTGCAAAAGGAAATTATCAGAGAGATATTCTATTATCTACCAGTGCTAGTTTACTAAATAAGGAAATAGTAAGAAAATTAGAGCTTGGAGAACCAGTATAATTAATAAACATGAATGAAGAGGCTCTCTAGAGGAAAAAATTTGCACAGGACCTGAATTTATAGTAAACATTCTATTTTAATAACGTCCATGGAAAATCACTTAAACAAGTTGCACAGTTGATTGGACATGTTGAGTTGGCGAGAATCAGGTGGAAAACCCACAGTAATGGTGTTCTTTGACGCAAGGAAAGTTCGTGTTGTCATGACGACTAATGTGTGATATGTGCAGACATGCCCTGCAAGGCAGTCCCACACTCCCAGCACTTACCCGTAGCAAAAGATGTTCTCAGCTCCCACTTTTCAGCTATTCAATAGTTGTGAGAGAATGACCTCACAGCTGTAGCTGTTCCCAGATAACTTCCTCTTTAATTCACACAGCTTCAGGTGTTTGGTTTTCTGTATTACCTATCAGCACTTCTTCGCGTTTCTGCTGACCTTAGCTGGTTGACGAGGCTCGATTTTCCTTTGATTCTTAGTCTTCCAACAGTGTGGCTTTTCTCATTGCATGTATTAAGGACTATGTTAATATCCGGCTACAAAAGGTCAAAAGTTATACAAAACAGTTCATGAATAGCTGATGCCCAAATAAGTCCTATATTTTTAAAATGTGAAATCTTCTATTCATCAAAACTTGCTACAAGAAACGTTTGCTGTGAACAAGGAAATGGCCAAAGTGCAGATCACTGAGTACAATTTAGCAGAGCAGAAAGCTGTGGAATGCCTCGCAAAATGAAATGGCCAGTATGATTTTGGTCCTGGAAAAAACTATGGTTACCTTAGGTTTTATTTGATTAAACAACATAGGAATACATTGATTTTGTGACTATTCTCCCAAGTTTCTCTTAATGTAATTATACCTTTGTATGTCTTTCTAGAATATTATTTCCCCCAAGAAAAATAATGTAAATGTTTTATTACACAGAATTATGTTAAAAGGCAAAAATTATTTAGAATAATTCCATGACAAAGGATTTCCCTCCTTTAACAAAGAAAAAACTTCCATCTCTAGCTAACGGCAATAATAAAACACTGTTTATTTTGTTGACGACAGCTTTACTAACACCATGCTAATTGATGCTTAATGCAACTTCATTTGAATTATTTCTGCTAAAGGCATTTGGAATGGACTCTGAAATACTGGTTCATATGGAAGAAGATAGTTAGACTCTTTTTCCTAAGGTTTATTGGACTTCCCTTTGGCTATAGGGTGAAAAAAGTCGGCGTTCTTCAAAGAGCAGTTTCCTTTTATTAAAATCTGCAGTCAGAGAAACACAGCTTTCATTGTGCTTTCTCCTATCTGAGTCATGTTCGCAATGGGTGATTGATCAACACTTTGTCAAGCCTGGACATGGTAAACTACAAAAGCAACATGATGAATGGAATTTAAAATGTGTTTCAAAATAGAGTTCCTTCTTTACGATCAAAATGAAAGAAAATATTCCTCCAGCACCTCAGATCCAAAATAAAACTGCCAAGTTAAACATGAAAAAGTTAATTTAAGATTGTATTCTGCCATGTAGACATTGAAGAGAAAAATCAAACAGAGCAAGACAAATCAACATTGACTAAGCAATGTTACCTTTGGATCTCATCATTGCTCAAGCATCTTTAAAAGTCAAAAGAAAAATGACAGTATTTGACCACATTCCTGGACTAAAGTGTCTCCTGTCTCTCTTCCTATCATGTACCTCTAGTCCAGATCTCTGTGGATAGTGTCAAGAAGGAAGATGGGAGTTCTCCCTCCTTAAATGTAGGTTTTTGATTACTGTCATTTCCTTGTATATTCAGTCTTCTGGTTTAATTAATTTTTTCTTAATTTTTTAAGAAATGGCACCTGGAGATATCATAATATCCTTCTTCCTTTAGATAGTTTTGGATTTTTTTTTTTTACAGCTAGTAATTTCATACTGCTTCACAAGGTGACACTTGCATTTACCTTCAGTCCATGTGTGCTCTTGCAGTTTTAGACTACAGATTTTTTGGGATAATTCCTTTCCCAAAAAGCTGGGCAGCATGATCTTGACTAAGTGCTTAAACATAACAATACTGTAAACAATGAATAATGAACAACTTTTTTTTTTTTTTTTAATCTGTAATAGAAAATTGGATTTTGATGTGACTATTACTTGAAATAAGGATGACAACATTTTACAAAGTTACTGTCAGGAAGCTGCCAGTGAGTAGTGGCCTTATAGCAACACCTTGTGATCAGTTCCTCAGAAGAGGCAGCTTCCAAGGTACCCCTGGCAGAATCTCAATGCCATTTTTTGGAATCTGTCTTCTGGCTGATGAATGTTGGTGGCCTAGCACATGCTTCTTGTCCTCCAACATGTACGAATTGGATGTGCTCCTTGTTAGGAGCACATTCAATGTGTTATGTGGTTAATTATGTGTTTATGTGTGACCCCTCAGCCTGACTGGGCAGGCCATTGCGCTGCTGGAGCGGTGGAGAGCCCCAAGACCTCTGTGAGAGACCCTGCTCCATGTCCCCATGGCTGCCCCAGGAGCCTCCTCTGGAGAGATCCATGTGGTGTGTGTACACTGATCTAGCTCTCACTGAGGGACAGACATCCCAGCTAGCCAGCACGGGAATGAGACAGGGTCACCGGTAGCACTTGTGTTTGTGTGAGGGCTGAGCATGCCTGCATGCCCTGCCATCACACTGGCTGTGCTGGGTGGTGGCACCCGGACCTCTACAAGGCCACCAGCTCTGTTAGCCCCAAAATTTCTTAAATCCTTTGCATCTCAATGGGTTGCTGTCAACAGGGAAAGTGCAGCAATTCCAAGGTATTTCAGATGTCTTCAAAATAGCATGTCTAAAAGCTTAAAAACCAAATAATGCTCATTCTTACATTTTATTAGGAATTTTAGGTTGCATGCATAAAGTTACTGGAAGCAGGCTCTTGTTTGATTCAAAGTATCTCTTTTAATAAGTGGAGTTTTGAATGAATGGCAATTGTTTTGATCAGTGTCTTCTTACAGGAGGATAGTCAGAGTTTGCATAGGCTAACTTAACTTTCTTGTATCCCAAGAAGATAGATGAAGGAAATCCTTTGATAAAGTTGAAATGCACTTTGTTATTTTGTTTGGTGGATACTGTTGCCCCCTGGAGGCCATTTCTTGGTTATCAAAATATTAGATTGAAACTTAAATTAAAACTTAGAAATGTTTGCTATGATAAACAAAATATTCCCTTTAGCAATTAAAAATATTGCGACTTTAATTAAAAGGGTTTATGAGCTTATCAGAGAAATAACTTATTTCTTACTATGCTAATTATTTTTCTACATTTGCTGTTTAGATTTGCAAATTGCTAGAGAGTAAAATTTAATTGGTTTTTAAGGGAGATGAATATTTAATTTGAATACAGTACTTGGGAAAAATAAGGATTTTGTGAATATGTGTGTGTGTTTTTTAAACAGCATAGATAATCAGCCTAGGGAGTATGAATGTCTCCACATGAACTGTAGGCAGGTTTGTATGCAATGCTCATAAAAGCTGCTCATTTTGCTCATGGAAGTTGCTCGTATTGCTTGTATTGCTGATGGAGGTGCCAGGGAAAGGGCAGTGCAAGGCTGTGACTGAAGGCAGCACTGGGCCTCACTCAGGCTTTGTAGGTGCTGTACTGCTGGAAACAGCGCTAAAATCAAAGGCAGCTCGCGGAGCCCAGAGCTCTGTGTGGCCAGTGGCAGCAAGGGATCAGCTAACGGCCAAGCAACTCAGACCTCACTTCCATCTCCTTCTCCACTGCATGGCCTCCTGGAAAAAGAGCCCAGCAGGTCTTTGTTCCAGAGGCACATAGGGTGTCCTTCTAAAATAAGCGTGGAAACAAGATCCCTGCATTTGTGTGAAAAGCATGTCCTTTCTTACCTTCCTTTCTGGGTCTGCTAGAGTCTTTCTGCTTTTTACAACAGTTTGGTGCATGGCTATTTGCACCAGAGATTCAACCCAGACAGCAATGAATGTCAGTCACTGACCATTGGAACAAAATCACAACTACTGACCCAATTCCACTGTTAATAATTAATTGGACTGCTCATGCAGAAAGATTTTTTTTATGTGACTAGAAACCTATTTCTAAATATTTAGCTCTTACTGGTGTTTCTGAACATTATCACTAATGGTATGAATTAAGTGTTAAGTTATACATGTTAAATTGTGTTGCTTTTGTAATTAGTCCCTTGCCTATGCTTGTAATGGACTTTTTCCTTCATAGATGTGGTACCCATCAGCTGGTGCTCCGATCTCTGCTGCCACCCCTGCCTCCCAGATTAGTTTTGCTATTCTGCACCAGGCTTCTTGCCCTGGTGAGCACCAGCATTTCAGGAAATAGCCATGCTGACAAAGAAACAACCCCATACTAGTGCAAAGAGTATCAGCTCTGTGAAGGGAGCAGAATAAAGGCAGTGATGGGTAGTGCTCTCCTGCATATTGTCTAACCCCAGTACAGCTGATGTATCCAGTGGTTAATGAGCCATACACCAGGACAGACTCCTTGTCCTAGAACCCTTCTTGGTATTTGGCTGTTTCTTACCATCCCCATGTCAATCCCATGTTGCAGGAAGTCTGGCAGCTTTCTGAACAGGCATATGGAGAGCATTTGTTTCTTCTTGCAAACTTGCTGTCTGAAGGCTGCAAGTGTCCCTCCTTCTCCTGCTCTTTCTTTTCTTCATCTCCTCACCATTAGGTTCAGTACTTCTTTTTATGCAAAATGTAATCTGGTTTGTTGCACTGAGCTTCATTAGCACTTCATGTAAGCTGAGTTATGGCCTTTAAAACTACTGAAAAATCAAAGAAAGGGTGCCTGGTAAGAAGTGCAATATCTAGGCTTGAACTGGTTGTTTTCTGCCTGTAATGTCAGTA